AAAACCAACGGAAATCAGATCAGTCATTTCATATTCGACTATGACAATGCGTTAATCACGTACAGTAACGAATCTGTCTTACTTGAATACCTGTCAAGCAAGCAGGTTTCCCTTTAAGCATTTTGAGTACACTTGACGTACATATTGAAACAGTTTACTTTTTAAAGAAGCACATAGCTGAATGATTCTGCTTGAGAGCTCGAAACTGCTCATTGGATATGGTCTATAATGCTGAGTAGCAAGTCCTCTCTCTTTTTTGATGTAACTCACAGGTATTCTGCAATGCAGAAATCAGGTTGAGGTGCAGGCTGAGTATACTTATCCGAAATGCATGGGACCAAGATTGTTTCAGATTTTGGAATACATTACAAGGTGGAGTTGAAGAGAAATGAGAAAAAGTTTAGAGAATCGATGAAGATAGTCAAAGGTAAAGAATTTCTGAAATACAAGCTATTGAAATCATTTGACACTTTTTCTCACCCAAATTCTACATTTGAACAAAAAATAATGAATCTGTTTACTTTGAATAAAAATATTTAGTCAAAAATAGTGAGTTCCTGTCCTAAAGAGGTGCTTGCTGCGACAGTGAAATTACGGATGTTCGGGAAAGCGGCGTAGCAGCTCCTTACAAATCACAAGAAAAAGAAATTCAGCTATTCCACAAATTGTAACGGCCCGGCTTTCGTTGCTGTAAGCATCATCAGGTACAGAAAGAAATTTTCATACTGCTTATATAGGTTGGAACATAGGAGTCGAAAAAAGGAAAGGAAGAGGTAGTGGAAGTTAGACGTTAATGGGTTGTTTCCATAATAAAATACAAGCATGAAAATAGGTTGTGTTCGATGTGTTCTCCCTTTTGACTCTGCAGATAAAATGAGAAGTGACAAAGTGTGATCACGAATGGGACTAGAGAATTTCCGATAAAGTGAGACCATTGGGCCTTCGTTAGCGGCGGAAGGAGGTCCTTTTCTGATGGGCTGAACATCAGAAAACGGGACGGGATGGGACGGAAAACGGACGAAAGGGAGTTATGGCTATTGCTTATATTATCGAAAGATATTTCAAAACCTCAGGACTGAGAAGCGAGTTAATACAATATTACGGGTTTCTGATTTCAGAATTTTGAATTGAGAATACTCTGCTATACTGTTAAAATTAGTCAACATATTTACAGCATGCAATTTTATTATTTAATTCATGATCATAAAGATTCTTT